GATTGATCAATTTTACACTGCTTACGATATCGGCATACAATTATTCTGTAGAATTATCACGGTTTATGATTTAAAACACCGATATATGACGTATTATAGGACGAGCCTAATATACGACAAGAAGCGGAGTTCGTGGCTGACTAGGAAGGGTCCTTAAAATGTATCTACAGAGATTAAGACAAAAACGGAGGTTAACTTTACGGAGATTTGACTGTACATTGCTCTTCCTTTGAATTCATAACATTCGAAAAAACACACTGCACGAAACAATAACTTACTGGGAAATCGGCTAATTATCATAAATTTAAATTTTACATATAATTAACTGAGAAGGGTATATTTCTTTGGCAATAATTTTTTTAGATGGCGTTATATAATATTAATATTTCTATAAAGAAATCAATCTTAAAACTTATTATATAGTCTAATTATATCAAAATTCTTCGAAAATTACAATAATAATATCAAATAAATAAATTATTTATTTATAAAAATTATTTTGATTGTCATATGATTTTGTATAAGATAGAAATTAATTATTTGCGTAATTTTTGTGTTTTATAGTTGTGAAGACTACTATTATGTTGACCAACATGGAAGATTTTAATACTGTAAATGAGGTCTATAAAGAATGTAAGTATTAAATATATAAAATATATATAAGATATTATTGTAATTTAATTTTCATGATACTGATTTAATGTTTATATATATAATATAATAATTATACATTATTTTACGTATTATACATATTTTTTGTTTATAGTTTTCACAACAAATTATCCAGCCAGGTGTACATATCAAGTTGCAAAGTTACCTCTGGTACAATAAAAACATTATTTTACTAGTTATAATAATAAATTGCTATTGCTATATCTAAGGAGAACAGAAAAATCATAATAATATATTATATATTTGATGTACGTCATATTAATCGAATTTATGTCTTTTATGTCATGAAATCTCGATATCAAATGACTTAAAATTGACTTTATATTGACTTTTTTTCTTATAGTGTCGATTTTAAAAAAAAATGCAGTGTACGTATTTCGGCATTCATAAATCATCAGGAAGCATTAATTTCCAGATAGAAAGGTTAAGCAACGCTAGATAGAATTAATATGACTTGCATCGATGATCGCTTAAAAACACTATGAAGTGTGAATAAAAGTTTCCATGCAAATACATTTTTTAAAATCATAATTTTGTGTGTATTCTCTCTTCTTTAAAATGTGATAGTAATCAATTAACCCATTAACGTCCAAGCGAACACATTTTTTGAACAATTTTCAGTGGCTTAATTTTTTATTTTAATGGCCCTGAAAAATTCAAGCAATCATTTCTGATGTAAAATTTCTTGCTTTTTCAGAATCTGCCATCAGAATTT